CCCCCCCTCTATTTCAAATTGCAAAAGCCAATAGCAGGCTGGCTATTGTATCCACCCACTGAGCAGAGGAGCGGAACTAAGAGACAACTTTCTCTCTCAGGTCTGCCCCACTGCTCAGTGGGTGGGGTTTCAATAGCCAGCCTGCTATTGGCTATTTCAAATTAAAATAGCCAATAGCAGGCTGGCTATTGCTCTCCGGCTGCTTACATTCGCTTGTCGCCTGCGGAAGCTATCCGGCAGGAGAATGAGGCTGCCCGGTGGGAAGATCTGTTAAATAAAAGGCTACACAATAATGGAGACACGATGTGGATCTGGATCTTTGGGGTTGATAACAAAGAGACTCGAATGATTTTAGATAGGAAGTCTATCACTATCTAATGTCATGTTTCCAGCTAATGATGGGCCATTTTTTGGGCACAAGAACTGGTCTGGGATAGTGATGGGAGCTTCTCACACTCTCAGGAGCCCCCGAAAATTACCGTTTCAGAAAAATTGTGCTACACAGTGCACAGAGCAAACGGGATGTTCTCCAGTTATTGCCAAGGTACTTTGGGGTCATGGACTAATTTAAATGTGGACCGTTAGACAAATATATATATATAGTAGGGACGCACCGATACCGGTATTTTGGTATCAAGTACGAGTACCGATAATTTTTTTCCGGTACACGCCGATACCAATTACCAGTAACGGAAGTCTCATTCAGGAAGCCAGGTGGCGTGTAATGACTCGCCACCTGGCTTCCTGATTAACAAGAAAGTCCCCTCTTACCTGAGTATGTGTAGCCTGTCATCCCCCGGGGCCTCTCCAGCGAGAACGCGGCCTTCGTCCGGTACCCAGCCGGAGCCGTCTAACCAGGAAGCCGGGCGCCGTGTAATGATGCGACGCCCTGCTTTCTGATTGGCCGGGAGGCCGGCTCCATGCTCTCTTGTCATGAGATGACGAGGGAGCATGAAGCCAGCTTCCTGGCCAATAAGAAAGCAGGGCGTCGCGTCATTAGACGGTGCCCGGCTTCCTGATTGGATGGCTCGGGCTGGGTACCGGACGAAGGACGCATTCTCGCTGGAGAGGTACCCGAGGGATGACAGGCTACACATACTCAGGTAAGGTAACCTTACCTCACGAGGCCAGCTTAGGGTCAATCGCGAAACCGGGGCAGCGTGTAATAACGCGCTGCCTGGCTTCCTGATACCAGAAGTATCGGGCTAGGCATCGGAGCATTTGGGCGAGTACGAGTACTTGCCCAAATACTCGGAATCGGCACAGATATCAATACTAGTATCGGTATCGGTGCATCCCTAATATATAGTCGCAAGGAACAGAGGTTTAGGTTTGGATCTGGCGTTCATGCTACAGGTCATTGTTCCAAGCACTCTGTGAGCCAGCGGTTCTCAACCTGTGGGTCGCAACTCAGTGTTGAGGGGGTCGCAGCATCCACTTCTGCTGCGCTGGGTGAGAGACTCCTCAGCCTCCTCCTAGCGCAGCAGTGTCACTCAGCGGGAGGACAGCAGAGGCTGTGAATATAAGAGTGCCGCTATACACGCTCCCTGGCCGCTGCAGCGACATCTAGTGGACGGGAGTGTGCACAGCGGGGCTTTTCTATTCACAGCCGCTGCTGTCCTCATGCCTCCCATACAGTGCAGGCTCTGCGGGAGGCGGGCGTCTAAGCAGTGCCGGGGCTGAGAAGGCTGCATGGAGACAGAGCAGGCAAGCAGGTAGCAGGGGCTGGGGAGGGTTTGTATTCTTGTGAGTGTGCTTCTACTTGTAGTCCCAAGTCCGGCGCCTTACTAATTCTGGAGTCCAGCGCTCCGTTGGGGGTCACCACAACTTGGCAAAATGTTACCAAGGGGTTCCCGGCCCTAGAACGGTTGAGAACCGCTGCTGTAAGCCAAGACAGCTACCACAAGGGTGAACTATTTCTTTTGTACTATTAGTAAGAAAGAGGGGACCTCGGGGGAGGGCACTGATCAAGTGCAGGATGTGCAGGGGAGGGGCTCAGGTTTTACCTCCAGCGTCTTTATTTGCTCTGGAACTCCCTTCATCCATTCTCTGCGCTCCGTCAGCTCCTCCACGCTGTTTGGTTTTTCGTACAAGCTGTGGCTGATGCTTCGGAACTGGTCTGAGATCTGAGGATCCGAAGAGCAAGATTGAGATCAGAAGGTGACGCTGGATTCTGCTACAAGGACAAATAAACCCTCCAAGTTTGACTTACCCCGTCCACCTCTTTGCGCACGTTCTTAGCGAGCAGCTCCAACAGGACGCTGGAAAGAGCTTTGCGTTTCCGACACAAGTTTTGTTTGACTCCCTCGATGCTGATCTGGAAGGGGCCGACTATGATGGAGTTGGGCAGAGCGTTGTCCAGGCGTTCCTTCTCCAGGAGATGCTTCTCAACCTCCAGTTTTACCTCTGACGCCGAGGGGTTCTTTTCCCGGAACGTCCTGCAGGAAATACCAGGATCGGATCAGAAACATTTATTGGCATTACCGTTATTATCCGA